GCCCCCACGGCCCCGGCCCCCTTGCGTGACTGCGCGCCGTGCTTTGGGGCTCTCCCCCCCACAGTCCTCCCTGGCTGCCACCAGTTTGGATGCAGAAGCCCTCTGCTCCCACTTCGCGCAAAGCCAAGCTGCCCGTTTTATCTTTATTTGTAAGCTAAGTTTTATCTTAACTCCGGCCTTTATCTGGCGCTTCACCACAAGAAGCCAAGCAGGAAGTTTGTTTTGACAGAACCCTTCAGTCCGTTTACTTTTCCTGCCGCTGTCCAGAGCTCTCTCGGGGCGTGCGAAGAGCAGCGTTTTTCACCGGCAAAACCGAACTTCCTTCCTTCCTTCCTTCCTTCCAGGTTGAAAGCGTGCCTGAGAGCCGTGAACGACACGGCCTCCCGGGTGGTGGGCCAGGCCTTCTTCAACGTCATCCAGGTGCCCTGCTTCGAGTTCACCTACAAGGAGCAATGCGTCGAACCGTATCTCTATGTCTGGTAAGCGGAACTGGCTCTCTCCGGCTCCTGAACCATAGAAACTGCGCGAGTCGGAAGGGGTCTCCCGGATCATCTAGTCTGACCCCCGGCTCCTGCTGGCTCCGCTCACGACACGCCCACCATTGGTCCTGGAAGAGGGCGGCTTGCCTCCCCGCAGCAAACTTTTCTACAAGCGAAGGGTGGAGCGCCCTGTTTTGGGTGGGGGGACAGAGGACCTGGCAGGGCCTTCCAAGTAGTGGCAGCAGAACAGCTTAAATCTCCCCCGGGGAAGTCCTGCTGGTGTTTCTTCTTCCTTTTATAGAAGTTTTTATTCTGGAAGGTATCTGAGGAGAACACCTGTCCTTTATCTTGTTTAAATCGTAAGTTTGCTGATTTTCAATACCGCAAACTTTTCCGTTCGTGAAATTGTGAGTTTCTACCATTCTGATCTGGTTGCTTTCCCAGTGCAAAGCAGCTTTGAAAAATACATTTGGAAAGGAGAAAGGCATTCAAAATGAAGGCAACCTTGCCTGGAACGAACCCAGAAATGCTGTTCCAAAACATTCTGACCTCTGCACTCAAATTAGTTGTGCCGATCCAACCAACGTCGCTTAAATTGCATGCTTTTGCATAATTTTGCTCCATAGCTGGTGCTCTTGGGGTGGGGTCAGCCCCTTTGGAAAATACCCTGTACTAACTGCCAGACACCTGTCCATTTTCTCGCTCCAAGATCGCTGTATGCAGTGCTCAAAGCACAGGGGCTAGAAACTTGATCTCTCCTTTAAGAAGCAATACCCAGGGAGTTGTGCCCCAGGCGGGCCGAGGGAACCTGCTGATCTCTCTCTGCTCTCCCCCAGGTGCAGGAATTACAGCACGGTGGCCGTGGCCGTGCCGCAGGAGCCGGTGCTGTATGACTACGGGGGGGGCGTCATCGATGGGCCGGCGATGCGCCCCCCCCCAGCAGGGGCGCCCCCCAGGGCTCCCCCGCCTGACGGCCGCCTCCGCCCCACGACGGCCGCCCCCACGCCTCCGCACAAGCCGGAGCCCAGCGGCAGCCCCCGAAAACACCGCAAGGGCAAAGCCAAGGGGAAGGAGAGGAAAGGCCGGAAGGACAAGGGTGTGAGGAAGCAGCGGAGGAAGCCCCGGCCGGCGGGGGCCGAGGCGGGGGGCTTGGAGCCGGGCACGGTGCCCCCCAAGTGGCTGGCTGCGCGAGAGCTGGGGAAGATGGACTTCCAGGCCCCGGCTGGGCTTCCCAGGGCGGCAGAAGCGGATCCGTTCAACGCCGTCCTCGGAAACGACCCCCGAGGGGGCGAGGGCGCCCCGGGTGCCGACGGAGGCGGGGAGCTGGCCCCGGCCAGGGCCACCGCCGGGCCTTCCTCCGCCCGGCCGGTGAGGAGGAGGAAGAGCCGTGGTGGAAGGCGCCCCCGGGGGGAGGCAGCGGCGCCGCGGCGGCGGTCTCTGGCCAGCTGAGGCTGGAGGGCGCCGGTCCTGCCGCGGGGCCACCTGGCCACGCATGCCCGGGCGGGGGGCTCCCCGGGGCACCCTCTCCCTCCGCCAGCTCGTCCCCCAGCCGGGACAGCCCCTTGCCAGCCGGGCTGCGGGCGGTTGTCCCGTGGGCTGGGGCACCTGAGGCCGTCCCCCCGGCCCTCGCCTTCCATGAGCTCCCCTGGGCATGTGCAGATTTCCGCTTAAGAGAACAGCAGCAGTGCCGTCCCGCCAGCGGGTTCTCTCCTCATTGCTTCCGTTTCGCGCCCTCTTCCAGTCCGCCCTGAGGGCTCCCCTTGCCTCTCCCCAGTTCTTCAGAGTGGACCCCAACGCACGGAGGCACGGGGGGAGGGGGCAGGAGTGGCCCAGGCTCTCGGAGAAGCCCCTCGCCCCACGATGCCCAGGAACCTCCCGTTCGAGTGCTGCGCAGGGCAGGGCTGCTCCCCACGCTCCTGGCTGAAATCAGACCTCGCCTCGGAACCATGAGGACTGGAAACCTGCTTAAAAGAGGAGCGTGGCTCAGGAAAGCAGTCAGAGCGGCTGCCCAGGAAAGCCGGCCCTCAAGCGGCTTCTCAGGCAGGGAACTGCCACGAAGTGACCCCACGGCCAAGCTCAGGCCTTGCGTCTGAGCGCCTGAACGCTGGGTGCGAGAGCCGAGCCGCGCTGTGCCGGGCCACCCGAGGAGACGGCCGGTCCCCGTTCGCCCTGGCCCTCCGGAGCCGCCCCCGTGCCGCCCGGCAGCCAGCCCTGCTGCTCCCCTGCGAGGGGCCGGGCTTCCGGTCCCGCCGGCCACGGAGGTCCTGTCCCGCGGCGACCCGAGAGTCTGGGCCGTGTCCCCGCGCGCCCCCGTCCTTCCCAGTTCTGCGGCTCAGCATTTCGGCTTCCTTCCCCACAGAGATAATCAACCCGGGACCCGCCGTGGGCCGGCCCGGCTTCCCAAAATAAACATCCTGAGACAGCCAGCGTTGTCGCCTCGCTTTGCACAGCCTCGCTCCTTATCGGCGGCCCTCCGTGTCCCGGCCTTGGTCGCGTGCCGCTCCCCCCCGGCCCCCCAAGCGCCCCCGGGCCACTCGCTGGGGGCTCCAGGGGCGGCGTGGCCAGGAGGCACCCCGTCCCGCGCTTCCTGGGAGGAAATCCAGGGCTTTCCACCCGGCGGCCGCAACCCGTGCGCTTCCACGCTGCCGCCCGCCTCCCGGGCACAGAGCTGGCCTGGGGCAAACCGACACCTCGGGGCCGGGAAAGGGCCGGTGCCGGCAGCAGGGGGGCCTCCCATGGCAGGCATGCCCCTCTCGCGGGCAGGAGGGGGGCCGGGAGCAGGCGTGGGCAAGACGGGCCCCCGTGGCCAGTCCTCAAGGTGCCCGAGGGGCAGGAGGCCGCCCGCCGGCCCAGCAACGGGCCGCCCTGGCCAGAGCCAGCTGTCTGCAGGAAGCCGCCAGCGGGACCCGGGGCAAGGGCAGTCTCCTGCCCATGTGCCACAGCAACTGGTGTGCAGGGGTACACTGCTCCTGCCACTGGGACCAGCCCCTGGAGGCCTCTCTTCCCAGGCGGCTTTGCCCGCCCTCTGCGGCCGCTGCCCCGCCACGGGGGCTCCGGGCTCGCTCGGCCCTGTGCCGAGGAGCCCTTCGCGTCCGGCCAGCACCTCGCAGCCACCGGCTTCATGGCGGGACCACGAGGATCCGGCGTTGCGCCGCTCTGGGCAGACGACGGAGCCTCCCTGGCGCCCAGAAAGACACCCGGTGCGCGTGTGAAGGGGTCCCCCCAGTGAGCCAGGAGGGCAGCAGCCGAAGCGAAAGCCCCCAGAGGACTGGGCAAGCCGCCCCCGCCCCCCCGGATGGCCGGCCGGCCGCCCCGCCAAGTCCCCTGCCCTCTGCACGGAAGACAACAGGAGCGCTCTGGCGGGAAACACCCGGTTCTAGGAACACCGGAAGGCCCCGTCCGCTGCGGCCAGGCGTCGCGATGACCCCCGGCCAAATTTAGAAAGGGCAGGCTGCTTCCCCGCAGCGGCGGTGCTGAGCTCAGCACTGGGGGAGAGGCCTGCCCTCGGAAGCGGCCCCAAGCAAGCCCCATGGAACGTCCGGCCGGAAGCAGCCCGGGGTCCCTCTGCATCCCCAGAGTGGGGTGGGGGGCCGGGGCGGCTGCAGAGAGGCGGCAGGCCGGAGACGGCTAGTGTGCAGCCTGCGGGCCAGACAAGTATCGGGCAGGCGGGCAGGCAGGCAGGCACCGCCTGTGCCCAGCGCTCTCCCCAAGCCCACCCCCGGCACGATCCCTGTGCCCTGCCCTGGCCCGGCCCGCCCCGAGAGCGCGCCCGGCTGCTGGCCCGCCGCCCAGCCCCACGCCCGCTGCCCGGCAGGCCCCGGGGAAGAGAAAACCGACGAGGACGCGGTAGAAACACTATTTATTCCCTCTTTGCTGTTACATGTGGGCAGGGGGCACGGGGGCCGGGCTGCTTGGCATTCAAGCCGCCGCCCGCAGGCAGGGGCGGCCGGCACTTTGCCGCGGGCTCACAAAAGCCGCTGGCCGTTGCCGGGGCTTCGGCTCCGCAGCCCTCCTCTCCTCCTCTCCCTTGAAAGCGACGCGACTGAATAAATATTTTCCCGGAGGGTGCCAGAGGGACGGGGCCGGTGGCCGAGGCCGCGTCCGCGTCCGCTCCGAGCCAGAAGCCGCCGGCAGCCGGGGGGGCTCGCGGTGCAGGCAGAGCCGCCGAGCGAGGAGCCACGGGAGGGGGAGGCGGGACGGGTGCGGACAGGCAGACCCAGCGGGCTCCTCTCCCCGCCCCCCTTCCCCAGGAACGCCGCCGGCTCGGTGCAGTCCGGAGGCCGGGGAGGGAGGGGGGCGGGCGGGCGGGCTGCGGGGCAGGGGTCCGCCGACCGCCGGGGGTGCGGAGCGCCAGGCCGCGGAGGCCCGGCCAGTCTGAGCGCCGCCCCGGCCAGTCTGAGCGCCGCCCCAGCTGGCTGCAAAGGCGGCGGGCCCCCCGCCGGCACGGGGGCGGCCGCGGCTCCCCAAGCCGCCCGCGTCCCTGGGCCGCCGCGCGACGCGGAGAAAGGACGAGGCGGTGCGGGGCGGGGGGCGCCCCTCCGGGGCCCCCGCGGGAGCAGAGCGGGGCCCGGGGACTACCGGTCCATCTCGTCCAGCAGCGGCGTGGCGTCCCCCGCAACCGACAGGGGGGTGCTCTCGATCATGGGGCTGGGGGAGGGCCGGGGTGTCAGGCGCTGCTTCTGCTTCCGGCGCTCGGCCTCCTTCTCCTGCAGCCACTGCTCGGCCATCTTGCCCCAGTCGATCGCCGTGTGGGAGCTGGAGCTGGAGCTGGCCCTGCGGGGGGGGGGGGGGGGGGCGGGGGGGGGGGGGGGGGGGGCAGAGGTGGGTGCCGGGCGGGCGCGGCCCCCCGCGCCCGTGCCCGTGTGGCCCTCCCCGGCCGGGGGCCCCCACCCGCCCCGGGGGGCCCGTACTCACTTGGGCTGCTGCCTCTGCCCGGAGCTGGAGGACGGCTGCGCCTGCGCCTGCGGCTGCGCCTGGGTGGACTGGGGCGTGGCGCTGGCCTGGAGCTGGTGGTACTGGGGCGTCGTGATGGGCTGGCTGGGGGTGGTGTAGGAGTAGCTGGGCGTGAGCAGCGGGGTGGCCACCGGCTGCTGGGCGGGAGTGGTGAAGACCTGCGGAGAGACGGGGGGCGGGTGGGTGGGCCGTGGGGCCTGCGGCCAGGGGGCCAGTCGCGGGGCGGGGGCTGCCGGGACGGTGCCTCGGACGGGGTCCCACTCAGCCGCCCCACGCCTGCCTCCCTCCCTCCCTCCGCCAGGCGCCGCGTGGTGGGTGGGGGCCTCGGGGATTAGCACCGCAGAGCCGCTCTGGGCCGAGGGGGACCGGGCGCCCCCCCCACACACCCGGAGGCAGCCTGCTGGGCCCCGGAGAGGCTCGGCCCTCGGCCCGTCTGCCGGCTCAGCGCATTCCTCCGCCGCTTAAGCCCCCCCGCTGGCAGCCCTGCCCGGCCCTCCCCGCAGCCTCCTGCACACATTCCTGCGGGGGGACTGGCTGCCCCCCCTCCCGATCTCTTCGGGCTGGCAGCAGCGAGCATGCGAGGCTCAAGGAATAAAAGGCGGGGGGGGGTGGCGCTGGGGGAAAGCGGGCGCGACGGCTCCGGGCGGCCGAGGAGCTGGCTGGGCCGACGAGGAACCGATCGGCACAGAGAGGTTCGAGGAATGGAGCTTCCCTACGGAGGGGCAGTCTACCGGCACTGCCGCGAGACTGCAGCTTTCCCACCTGGGCCACAGGCTCTCCGGACGCAAACAGGGGGCTTCCCCACCCCGAGGGCCCCCCAGAGGAGCGGGACTGCAACTCCCATTATGCCCCAACTAGGCCAGGGGACGCTGGGAGCGGCAGTCCACCCCATCTGGGGGCTCTGGGTCATGGAAGGCTACCCAGAGGCAGGCAAGGACTCAGGCCGAGCCGGACTGGGGGCGAGCGGGCCTCCGGGCCCACCGGCACAGGGGAGACGCCGCGCAGCCAGTGGGGCAGCTGCGCCCCGCCGGCCAGCCGCCCGCCCGCCCGCCCACGACCCCCGCGGGGCCCCCACTCACGTGGTAGGCGCTGCTGCCGCCGCCGCTGCCGCCGTAGCCGTACTGACTGGAAGCCCACTGCGCAGGGGTGGCGTTGGCGTTCTGCCCCTGCCCGGTCACGGCAGCGATGGCGCTGAACATCTGCGAGGTCATGTTGTGGGGCAGGGCGTTGACGGCCCGGGTCAGGTCTGCGGGGGGAAGGGGAGCCGGTGAGCGGGGGCGCGGGAGGGGGGACCCCGGCGCGGCCTGCGGGGGCGGCCCGGGACTCACCGGCCAGGTTGATGTTTGCCGGGGTGGCGTTGATGGAGGCGGGCGTCCTGGTCCGGCTGCTGCTGCTGGGCGTGACCCCTGCGGGGAGGAAAGGCGGGGGGCCGTCAGGACGGGGTGGCTCCGGAGAAGGGCCCCCCAGGCCGGCGGGTGGGTGGGCCAAGGACACCCGCACCCCCGCCAGAATGTGCCAGGTGCCGAGGTGAGAAATGCAGCTTGCATTTTGGAAGGCGGCGGGGGGGCACACTGCCCACAGGTCACCAAAGCTCCCCACCCTCCAGGCCCTGGCTGGCGCACGGGCCGTGGACGCTGGGGCCCAAGCTCCTCATCCCTGTGGGCTGGGATGCAGGGGAAAGGGCAGCGCTGGAAGGAGCCGCCCTCGTCCCCGGAAAGGCCCCGTCCCGAAGGGGATGGAGCAGGAGAGCCCCCCGCCCCCCCAGCCCTGGAAGGAAAAAGACGGAAAAGGGGAGTTACCCGGCACGGGGTCCTGGTAATGGTCCTTGAACCACCGGAAGAGCCCGTTGACGGTGGGGAAGACGTGGCTGCGGTACCGGAAACCCTCGGGCGTCACAGTCACGTACTCGATCCTGCGGGGAGGGCGGGGGCTGCCTGAGGCTCCGCCGTCGCCCAGACCGGCCCCGCCAGCCCCGGGGCAGTGGCAGCGGGGGGGCCGTGCAGGGGGAGCTCGCCCTCCCCGGCTTCCCTGCCTGTCAGAGGCCGAGCCCCTGTGGCCAGGCTGGGGGCCCCTCTGCACCCTGCAGCTCGCCCCTCCGCCCTTCCCAGCACCCCCCCCGACCTTCGACCGCATCCCCCCGGCTCCGGTCCGGGCGGCGCACACCCACCTGGGCTTCCCCCGCGGCTGGTAGCCCAGCAGGAACTTGCCCGGGAGGTCCTTGCAGGCACAGATGAAGTACGGGATGAAGGTGGGCTTCTCCTTCTTGGTGAGGATCAGGAGCTCCTCCAGTTTCTAGGGGAGGGCGCAGGGGCTCAGCGGGAGGGCGGGCAGGCGGGCGGCCGGGCGGCCTCCCCCTGCCCGGAGCCGCGGCCCCCTGCCCCGGGCGCGTGGGGAGAGGGGGGGCTGGGGGCACGCACCTTCCTGTCGCCGCCGTTGCAGTCCTGGTAGTACTTGTGGCTGAGCAGGTCCCGGGCGAACGAGGCCATGGGCTGCACGTAGCGGGCGACGATCTCGTCCAGGTCCTCGAACTCCTGCAGAGGGCAAGGGGCCGCGGTCAGGGCGCGGGGGGGGGGGGGGGGGGGGGGGGGCCCCCCCCCCCCGGCCGGCCCCCCCCCCCCCCGGGGCCGGACTCGCCTCGGTGTTGATCCAGAGGGTGGAGCCCAGGCTGAAGGCGTTCTCCTTGCCCTCCTCGCGCACGTCCACGTGCTGGTAGATGCCGTCGGACACCTTCCAGGTGACGGTCAGGTGGTTCTCGCCCTTGCTGCTGGGCCGGATGACCACGTCGCCCTGGTCCATGCTCTCCATCATCTTCTCGGCCTGCTTGAAGTTGATGTTGTGGAAGGACGGGTGGGCGATCACGCGCTTGATGTATGCTGCGGGCGGAAGCGGCAGGCAGGTGGGCCGGCGCCTACGCCCCGCCGCCCCCCCCGGCCGCCCGGCCCTGCCCCCCCCCCCGGCCGCGGCGCATGGGCTCACTGGTGCGCTGCTGCTTCCGCTTCATCTCCTCCTCCTGCTTGTGGTCGGCGGCCTCGGCGTCGAAGTCGTAGTAGGTGTCCTTGGGCAGTTTCCACTCGTTGCTCTTGTCCATCAAGTCCGAGGTGCGGCAGGTCAGGTCGGCGCTGAACTTCTCGATGTCGATCTTCATGATCCGGCAGTGAACGGTCATCCCCACCTGCCGGGGACGGGGCGGTCAGCGGAACCGGGCCGGCCTCGCGGACGGGAGGCCAAGCACGGGCCGGACGGCCCAGTCAGCCCTACCTTGACCCTCTCCTCTGGCCGCTTGACCACCTTGTCACTGAGGAATTTGGTCGGGATGAAGCCCGTGACCCCGTTGTCCAGGCGCGTCTTCACCCCGATGGCCTGGCCGGGGCAGGAGCCGCTGTCGAAGTGGTTCCAGACCTGCGGGAGGAACAGCCGGGGGCAACTCAGGGCCGGGGGGCGCGGCTCAGGCACCCCGCGGGGCTCCCTGGCCCCGGGGGTGGCGCACGTCGCCGGGCGGCTGTGCGGTGGTGCCTTCCGCTGGCTTCTAGAGGCCGGGCCCGGCCAGCCCGCTGGGACACACAGAGGGGCCTCCCGGGGGCAGGAGCGCCATCCGCACCTCGCTCAGCTCGGGGAAGTTGTCCTGCTGGCAGAAGGGGCACTGCCACAGGCCGGTCTCGTCGTTGCGGATGGCCTGGTCGTAGCTTTCCCCCTGGGGCCGCCGGTGGGCGATGCCCGTCACATTGCAGATGATCAGCTTCCCTGCGCACAGAGGGAGGGACGGAGTGGGGACTTGCGTGTGGCCGGGGGAGGGCCGCCCGAGGCACCCCTGCCTGGCGCCCCTGCCTCCACCCGCGGGGGCCACCGAGACCCCGGCACCTTCCCCTCGCGCGGCCACGCAGGGCCGGCGGTGCCGCCTACCGATGTAGAAGGTCTCGGGCGTCTCTTTGGTCAGCATGTTGAAGACCTCCTCGGAGTTGGGGGAGCGGTAGGGGCTGCGCAGGTCCTTGTAGCGGCAGCTCAGCTCGGCACGGATGTCGTACAGCGTGATGTGCTTGTCCCCGTAGCCCTGAGAGGGAGCAGCGGCCGTGAAGCTGGGCGAGGCCGGGCGAGGCCGGGGCCCCAGGCCGCCCCCTCGGCCGCCCCGGCCGCTGCGCTGACCTGCCTCTCCAGCTCCTCGGCAAAGGCGTCCAGGTCCAGGTCCTTCAGCCGCTCCGGGTTCTCCAGGATCTCCTCCAGGGCCCCCGCGGGGTTGGCGTCTTCCGCCGACTCGTCGTATTCCAGGGCGTCGACGGCCATCTTCCGCGCCCACTCGTAGGTCTCCGGGTGAACCCTCGACCCGTCCAGGACCTCGATGTAGGAGTCCGTGCTGAGAGGAGGGAGGAGGAGGAGGAGCAGTCACGCCGGAGTTGCGGGACAGTCCGGCAGGCCACGGCTCCGGCCCACAAAGCAACCCCGCTCGGGGCGGCCGCCTTCTGCAAGCCCTCACTCTGGACGTGCTCCAAGTCCTCCCCACCCAGAGCGGCCAGGAATCGCCCGACCCACTGCCTGCTCTGCCGCTCGCGGTCGCCAGCCGCCCGGACACCCACCTGTCCCCCAGGGACGCCGTGTCGATCTTGATGAATCCAGCGCAGTTGATGAAGACTTTTGGGCCCATGTGGCACATGGTGACCAGCTGGGTCCGGTTCTCCAGACGGGTGTTGTTCTGCTTCAGGATCTGAGGAGGCGGCAGCGTGGGGCGCGTGTCCGGAGACTGTGGCCGAACCCCCACCCGTCCTGCCCCCACGATTCCCTCCACATTTCCCACGTGCCTCCCGACCGCCCCGCGGTTTGGCCCCGACGGCAGACCGCGGCCAAACCCAGCCCTGCCCTCGAAGACGCCCGAGTGGCTCAAGTGAGAAGGCGGCCTCCCCTCGCCGGCCGGCTGCTTGAGGGTCCCACCCCATCGACCGCACCAGGAAGCGGCCCTCAGAGCGAGCGCGGGGCGCAGGATGGGGGACCCGAGTCTCAGCCTGGCCCAGACCTCGATCCACAGGTGCCCTCCAAGCGCCAGGCTCTCGCGAGGAGGCATGTGGAGCGTTTATTATTTGAGGTGCGGGGGCAGCGTGAGGGGGAGGACATTCCCGGCCCTCTGCCCCAGGGAGGAGCGGGGGGGGCGGCGGGGGGGCTCACCTTGAGCAGGTGGGTGCCTTTGCGGGGGCCCAGGCCGCAGACGTACTGCAGCAGGGCCTGACTGTGCGGGTGCGCGATGGCGCGGTTGACGTCCACGCCCACCTCGTTCACGCGGTTGATGAACTCGCAGTAGAGGGAGTCCAGCAGCATCTCCTTCTCCACGTGCTCCTGCGGGAATAACGCCCCGGACGTCTCTGAGAGGGATCCCACCCTCGCCGGAGAGAAGGGTCCCCTCCAGGCGGCCGGGTCTGTCGCGGAAGGCAGCTGGGGCTGGAGGCCCTCTGTCTGCTCTGCCCTTCCGTCTGTCCGTCCGTCCGTCCTTCTTTCTCTGGGATGCTTTTAACTGGGCCTCAATTTGCTCTATGCCAAATTGCTCCTGGCACTGCAACAGCTAAACGCCTCCCCATCCACGGGGACTAGAGCAGCGGCAGCGAACCTATGGCACACGTGCCACAGCGGGCCTGTATTAGGGTTAGGGTGTGCCCCAGGGTAGGGTTAGGGTTAGCAAAACGAGGGGTCCTGAAGCGATTCTGATGGTTGGAATGTGTTTAGAATGGGTAGAAAGGATGAGCTACGCAGAAAAACCTACTCAAGGAAGGCTTTTTCAAAATCACCCTGTTTTCAGTGGAACTTTACCCCCATATTAGGGTTAGGGGTGGGCACCAGGTTAGGGTTAGGGTTAGAAAAACGAGGGGTCCTGGAGTGATTCCAATGGTTGGAATGTGTTTAGAGTGGGCAGAAATGATGAGCTGCGCACATCTGGCTGGCTCTGTCGGCACACGAGCCAAGTCGCCCCAGCAGCCGAGCACTGCATAACGGCGCAACAGGGGCCATGCGCCTGCTCGGAAAGGAGTAGCGGCGCAGGCAATGAGGTCATGAGCCGCGACTCGTCCGAGGCTTCGCAAGGCCAGTCAGTGCGCTGCCAAGGATATATACGTTAACCTGGACCGGCTGTGAGATGTTTTTTCTTAACTACAACCTCAGTTTTCAGTGTTGGCCCTTTGCGAAAAATACGCGGGTTTGGAGTTGTGGTTTGGGCACGGGGTCTCGAAAAGGTTCGCCATCCCTGGACTAGAGACCACAGTGGCAAAGGAGCCCTGCCCCACCTGGCCGTACCTGCAGGGGGTGGAGCTTGAGGCACAGGATGTCTTCCTCAGAGCTGCAGACTTGGGCAAACTCGATCAGCGGGTCCTGGATACGGCGGGCGAGGGACACCGCCTGGCGCAGGACAGGGGGATAGTCCCGGAATTCAGTCTGCAAATTCACACAATGGTTTCACTTAAAATCATTGTAAAAACAGCCTCTTTAAAAGCCAGAGACGCGTCCCTGGCCGTAGCATGCTCGGCCTTTCATCTTTCAAGCTTTACACGTGCCGCTTTTGGAAGACCACCCAAAGGGTTCCGGCACGGCGGCTGAGAACCGATCCCGCTCCGCAGGGTGCAAGTGCCCGAGATGGGGCTGGGAGGGCTGGCAGCGCAGGATGAGGCCACGGAGGCCTCGCTCCTCCGGAACTGCCTGCGCAGACAAAGGGATCCTGCAAGCCACCTGCTCCTCGGGCCCCTAGAGCAGGAGATGCTGGGGATGGAGCAGGGCCCCTTCCCCGGGCAAAGTGGGCTGCCACCTGCCCCGGGGGATGGCGGCATGGGCATTCTGCGCCTCGGCTACTTCCCCTGAGGAGGGGCATCATGCCCAGGGCCTCCAGAAGCCCCGGCGTGCCAGCACGGCTGGACTCCGCAGGGCATCGTTCTGGCCCGGCTGGCGGCCGGCTCCCCGATGGCGGAATCGCAGTGGGACCCGCAGGAGACGGCCCCGAAGGAGAGGACAGGCAACGCCCCGGCCACGCAGCCGGGCGGGAAGCCAGCAAGAGGGGCCGCCCTTCTGCCAAGCTGGGAGCGGCGCGGATGGCCGGGAGCCCCCCACCCGCACCCCCGTGGGAGGGCCGCCCTTCCGCGTCACCTCGGACTTCTTGCTGTTCATGTAGAGCGTGGCCAGCTCGTTGTCCACCAGCTCCACCCCGATGGCCGGGAGCTGCTGGCCTTGGTCCAGCTCGTGGGCAATGCGCTTCACGTCCTCCATTAGCATCTGGGCATCCCTGGGGGGGGGGGACGGGGACAGGGCGGCTGAGCGGCTGCCGCTCCATGGGGTGTGACGACCGCAGCTGGCGTGACCCCACTTCGGACGGGGCATGTCGGGGTGCTGGTCCGCCTGCGTCCACCCAGACAACCCCAGCTCGGACTCGGAGGGGTCCACACTCGAGGGGGGGCTCGGCAGCCCAGGACTGCTCCCGGCAGCCGGCGGGGAGCCGCTTTCCGGCCGTCAGCGGGGCGACGGCTGCCCCCTCCCGCGCGCTGCCTTACAAGGCCCCGTACAGGGAGCAGGGGCTGAGCCACGGGGCCGGGTGCACAGAAAGGGCCACGTCCTGGCGGAGCGGCACGAGGGGGAGCCCTGCTGGGGAGGGCGAGGGGCCCCTCCGGCTCACCTGTTCTCCCCTGCAATCGTGACCACGTGGGGCTTCTTGCTGAGCAGGAACTTCTTCAGGGTTTCAATATCCTGAGCCTGGAAAAGAGAAGGCAGGGATCCACTGGACCGGCAGGTGCTGGCAGCGGGCACACCTGACGGGCCGGGGGGGCAGGCCTTGGGCAGGCTCCCTATGCTGCTGGGGGCCAGGGACCCCGCCTCGGGGCTGGCAGCGTTGCAGGAAGCAGCATTCAACAGGTGGCTCCGGCGGGCCGCTTCCTCTGGCCCCGAACTCACCTTCTTCTCCCGCTCTTCCTCCCGCCAGGCGTTCCTCCGTTTGGTGAAGTGCGGCAGGCGCAGGAAGTCCGTGACCTCGCCTTCCCCGTTCACCATGGCGCAGAAGACGGGGTGGTCCCTGCAGAAGGAAGGCCTTCCATTGGAACGGGACGGGCCCGGTGGACCCTGGGCACCCGGCGGCCCTGCCGTGGCGCGGCCACCTACCTGGCGGCGGAGAAGGCGATGCCGAGCACGCGGATGCCCTTGCCCTGGCTCTCGTCCATGAAGTCGTCGTCCTCCTCCACCTGCTGGTCCGGCCGGTAGGAGGCCACCTTCAGCCAGTTGTAGAGCTTCCTGCTGCAGGACTGCCGGGGGAGAGCAGGGCGTCATTCTCCCCGTGCGGAGCAGGGCGCCCCCCCGGCGAGGGGGGCAGGCAGGGGCGCGGCAGCCCCCCGTGTCCCGGGCGCCACTGGCCTGGAGAGGCCGGCCCTCACCTTGATGACGAACTCCTTGGCCTCGAGGAGGAGCTTGTTCTTCAGCTCCTCCGCCATCTGCACGTACAGGAACTGGTTGAGCGCCCGCTCGATGGCCAGGCTGCGCTGCCGGTTCCACTCCTGCACCTGGTGGCTGAACTCGTCCCGGTAGTAGAACTGCTTGATCTCCTCGAAGTAGGTCTGGTCGCTGCCGTAGCTGGAAGAGGCGGCAGGTCAGGTCAGGCCAGGCCAGGCCAGGCCAGGCCGGCCCGGCAGGGCGGCGCGCGCGGGGCAGGAACGGCTCGGGCGAGGGAGGCCACGCTCCGCGTGCCGGGGGCCGGCGCTTCCGCCCGGGAAGGACACGGCCACAAAGCCCCCTTTGTTCGCGGCTGCGGCGTCCTCGGCCCGGGCTTCTCCCCAGCGGGACGGCTTTGCGGGACGGCTTAGGGAAGCTCGTAAAGCCGCAAGCATGCGAGCAATGCTCGAGAGAGCGCTAAGCCACGGGGAACGCGGAGCGGCATTAAGCCCGGGAGCCGGCAGCGAGCCAGGGCGGCCGCGAGCACAGCGCCCCCCCGGCCCACCCCACCCCTCGGAGGGCTCCCTGGGCCCGCGGCCTCCGCCCAGGCGGGGCGCCACTCGGGCGGCTCACCCCTCCACGCCCCTCAGGTCGATGCAGATGTCGATGGTGAGCAGCCCCTCGTCGCGGGCCAGGGAGATCTTCAGGAACTGGTCGTCCCGCAGCTCCTTCACGGGCTTGTTCTTCAGGTACTTGAAGGAGTACGCGAAGTGGGCCTCGTCCACGTCCTGGGGAGCACCAGAAAGCACCCGCTCAGGGGCCGCCCCCTCGCAGCGGCGGCCTTGCCCGCGACGCCCAGCCCTCCTGAGCCCCGGGGGACCGACTAGCCACCGGGCGAGCGCTCCGCCAGAGCACTGGAGATGCGCCTGCGATTTCGGGATGGGAGAGAGCACCCGCGAGCCCGGTCTGGGGGCCTGGGATGTGCGGGCCCTTCCCCAGGGGCGCTTTTCTGCACAAGGGCTTCTCCCGCCCGAAAGTTGACCTCTTTTCATCCACCCAAAGCCACAGGGGTCAAACCCCCCCTTCTCTGGCTTCCGGGGGAGCCGCCCTCCCACCGAACCGGGTGCTGCACGCCCTGCCGGCCCCAGGGCACGGCGGCCCTCACCTTCCGGCCCTTCTTGGTGGGGGCGACGTTGATCTTGGCCCTCTCCTGGAAGGTCTGGCGCAGCACCTGCCGCACCAGGGGTTCGCGGGCGATCTGCAGGGCGACCATGTAGCAGGCCCCCTCGAGCACAGCCTCCGGGGTGGGGAACTGGCTGCGGAGGAGCAGACGAGCCGGGTGAGTGTGGCGAGCGGGCTGCAGCCCGAGGGGCGGGTCCTGGTGCAGAGGCCCTTGCCGGGGCCAGGGCCGCGCCCTGGTGGTGGGGTGGGCCCGACCCCGACACCTTCGGCACAATTCTCTCGCTGCAACAGACCAGCCCTTAAAAGACGCCTGCCCCACGCTGCTGTCCAGAGCGCAGGAAGCCGCTCCGTCACAGAGAGAGTGCGGGCTGAGATTTGCAGCATGGAAGGCAGCGGACATGTGCCGGTGTGGGGAGCTCTCCGCTTCCCCCCAGCTTGGGGGGCCTGACAGAGCCCTGCCTGCCTGCCTGGGGGGGGGAGGGAGGGGGGATGCCGGCTCACCTGCACACGTAGTCCTTGGCCAGCTCCAAGGGTTCCGCTGGGAACTGCTCGGTCTCGTGGCGCTGGTAGCTGTCCCGCAGGTTCTCGCCAAACTGCTCCGGGGTCAGCCCAAATTTCTTGGCAAGGCCGTCTGGGGGAGAAGGCACGGGGGGTCAGAGGGTGGACGGCTCTGCCTCTGGCTGTGTTGGACTACAACTCCCACGATTCCCGAGGCAGACTTGCCGGTTCCTCCCAAGCAGGCGCTGGCCACAGAATTCGAGCAGCCTGGAGCTGACATTTTACCATGTCCGTTGCTAGAACTCTGGGTCTCTCCAGAATATACATTTCTTTACGTGCTTTCCAACACAGAAATATTCTGCCGGCAGCACGGCACCCCGGGAAGCAACAGAGCTCACAGCCCTGGGGGCTCCAGCCAGGGGGGTGGCGGGGCCCACTCCGCCAGGCATGGTGTGCCAGCCCTCCCCAGGCCTCCGCTTCCGGAGACGCCAGCCCCCAGCGACTCGCTGGAGGCTACAGGGTGCCAAGGCCGGCTTCGAAGCATGCAGACCGCACCAAGGCCAGTCTCGGGAGCCTGAAGGGGCCGAGCGAGGCCGCCGGAGGCTCGAGAGCAAGTGTGGAACCTAAAAGCAGAGCAAGGCCTCCCTCCTGCGCTCTTTCCTGTACGCACAGGGAACACAACTCGTATCCCCGCAGCATGGAAGCCGGACTCCCTTGGCCACGCCGAATCGAGGGAAAAGCGCCAGACGGCAACATGGTGAGCGGCCCAGCCGGCACGGCCAGCACGAGGCCTGGCGCAGCTGCCCGGAGAGAGACGCAGGCCCAGGGGCTGCCCACCCGTGCCGCTGAGCCCCCCGCCAGGCGGGGCCCCCATGGGGTCGCGCAGGGAAACGCCGGCGCACGAGCCACGCTTACCCAGGCCAGCCGCTTGGCAGATGGTGTACATGTCCCGGCGGGAAGCCTGCTTCAGCTCCGGCCCCTTCTGCTCCTCCTCGTCCGCATCCTCTCCCTCGCCTGCGGAGGAAGGGAGGGAGCGCTGACCAAACATGCTGCAACCCATAAGGCCAAGACGCCCCCGCCCCCCGAGGAAGACGGGCTGCCACGCTTCCCCAGGATGGCTTCCCCCCACACGCTACCCTTCGGAGGGGCCGGCGCGGCGAGTGCCGGGCCAGGAACCCGATGCCCGTCTGTGCTGAAGACAGAGAGGGGCGGAGGGCGAGGGGCTGGCGGAGGGCCGAGAAGCCTCCGCGGGAGCAGGCTGTGGGGGAGGGCCGGTGGACCCCACGCCCGCCTTGGCCGGCTCCCTGGCAGGAAGGGGCACCCGCGGGCGCGGGGGTACCGGACCTTCCGCCTCGTCGCCGTCCTCGCGGTGCCGCTTGTGCTTCTTGCGGCTGGCCTTGGCCGCGTTCTGCATCTTGGGGATGTCGCGGCCGTAGTACAGCAGGAAGTGGTTGTACACGTCCTTCAGCTCGTCCATGGACTGCACGTCCTTCAGCCTGCGAAGGGGGCGGCACGGGGTCACCGCTGGCTGCTGAGGACTGTGGGACGGGGGGCCGACCCGCGAGCCCGGGGTCCCCTGGCGAGCCCAGGGACCCCGGCGGGCGCACATGGCGGCTCTCGCAACGCAGCGGCTGCGTGTGGGGCTCGGCTCCCTTGCAACGTGGCCTTTCCCGGAGGGCGAACCAGCGAGGGAGAAAGCAGAGCCACCAGCCCGGGAATCTCGCTGCAGGGAGGAAATGCTCCCCGAGGACCAAAGCCCGAGCAACGGTGCTTGGACGCTTCGCGGGGCGGCGGGCCGGCCTCCCTGGAATTCCTTTCCCGGTAATTTTAGTAAAATAAGCATGAGGGGGCGGCAAGGACCGGGGCAGGGACCAAGGGGGGTGCTCGGGGGGCCACATCAGACACCGGCCAGGCCTCACCGCCTCTGCGTCAGCTGAGCCCCCCGACCGGGCGGGCTCAGGGGCAGCTCCACGGAGGGCGGCGGTGAGAGCCCTCCAGAGGCGCCTGCGTGCGGGCCGGGCGCAAGGGGCTGCTCCTCTCCAAGGGCCGAGCCGAGGGGGAGCGGTACCTCTCCATGTCGGTGGTGTCCAGGGCGCGGATCCCGTCGGCCAGCGGCTTGTCCGGGTCGGCGGAGATCTGCTCGTACTGGTAGGCCTGCATTTTCTCGAAGAGGCGGGTCAGGTTCTGCTTGCGGATCTTCAGCTGCGTCCACTGGGGGGGGCACGGGGGCCGAGGGTGAGCTGGCTCTGTGCGGCCGGAGCGCCCCCCCCCCCGGACCCCCCCCCCCCCGCAGGCCGGGCTCACCTTCTCATCCCACTGCCAGACGCGCCACAGGTCGTTGATGTGCAGTTCCGGCTCCACGTACTCCTTCCTGTAGAAGGCGATGAAGGGCACCTGAGCCCCAAAGCAGAGAGGGCCGTTAGCACGGGGGGCGGGCCTCGGGGGAGCAGCCCTCCCCACCCGCAGCCCCCTGGGGGCACGGGACCAAGGCTCCCGTGCTTCCCACGGGGGCCCTGGGAGCCGGGCGGGGAAAGGCCCGTCCCCAGCTGAGGAAGAGGGGCGGGGGCAGCCGGGCTGGACCCGCGGGGAGGGCCGAGGGGCCGCCGCCGCGAATCCCGACTCGCCTCGAAGTGCTGGTTCCGCATGAAGTTGAGGGCCTCCTTGATCTTCTGGATGGTGCTGGGCCCCTTGCGGCTGAAGCTGCTGCTGGCCTGGCCCCGCTCCAAGTAATCGGAGCTCTCCTGGGGGGCGAGAGGAGCAGAGGAGCCAGGTGAATGGGCGGTGGCCTTCCGGCGCTCCTGCCGGCCTGCGAGGGGCGACCGTCCCCGCCAGCGCCAGGGTCCCCGGGGCAGCACCCCCGGGCGACGGCCCTCCTCCGCTCAGGTGAGGCACCCCGCGCAACCGGCGACCCCACGGCAACAGACCGAGGCGGCCGGAGGGAGGCGCGAGGCTTGGCCCCGCGTTTCCCGCAAGCGTCCTTGTGCAGCGGCCCGATTTTCGCGGGGTGGGCGGTGCTGCGTGCCGTTACCGCTGGGCAGTTGGGAGGCAGAGGCCCGGCCCCGCTCCCAAGGCCCGTTCCGGCGAGCGGGATGGCGTGGGACCCCGGGGCAGGCTGGCACTTCGGGGGCAGGTGCCACCGGCCCGGGCCCCCTCGGAAGGTCGCGCTCCTACCTGCAGGGAGATGGTGGGCATGGCAAAGGCGTTCCGGTAGATCCAGTCCGCCTCCTCTTCCAGCTCGTCGTCTTCGGCATTCTTCACGGGAATGGCTCGCAGCTGGCGGGAGAACGAGGCCTCGGCCCATCACCGCCAGCGCCCGGGCACTGGGGCGGGTTTCCCCACCTCGGTGCCCCCCGGAGGAGCCGGGCCCCCCACCCGGGGCTGCTGGGAGCCGCGGCCGGGACGCCGGGGGGCCGGGGGAGCGCCCCGCTCACCTGGAACCGCTCGGGCATGTCGGTCACCCGGATCTCGTTGTCCTGGTCCGTCAGGTGGCTACTCTCCAGCTCGCTGGGCTCGTACATCTCGAAGATGCTGCGCCGGCTGACCCGCTTCTTGGCGGCCTTCTTGGGCCGCGCGCGGATCTCGCCCTCCGCCTCCTCGGGCTCGTAGTCGTACTCGTCCTCCAGTTCCTCATCGTATTCGTTGTACTTCTCGAACTCGTCGTAGTCGAAGTCCACGCCGAAGATCTCCTGGGCCTCCTGCAGGGCGCTGCGGGGGGGGAGAGGAGAGGACAGGCGTGGGAGGGGGCTCCCAAGGGCCCGTGGGGAACAGGGCCCCCCCCCCGGCCGGCCTGCCCAGCTTACGCGTCGGTGTATCCGGGCAGCTTCTTCCGCCACTTGGGCTTCTTCAGCGGCTGGCCGTCGTCGTCCACGATGAAGTCGTCGATGTCTGGAGGGAAAAGCCCGTCAGGAGGGGGCCGCCGCGGGGGGCCCGCCTCCCCTTTCCCCTCGCCAGCCCCGCACGCCGGGGCCCTCACCGACTTCCTGGGGGGTGTCTGCGCCACCCCGGTGGGCCCACTGCCTGCAGGGGCCCGTAAGCAGCGCTTCGCCGTTCTAGCGAGGCTCCGACTGCTCCGGTGCGAGCGCAGAGAGCAGCCCGGCCGCCTTGCAGGTGAGCACGGCTTCAGCCCCAGGAGCTGGGGGGACGGTGGCGACAGCCAGCCCCGGCGCCTGTGGCTCCTCGCATCCCCTCCCCAAGTCCCATGCTGACGGGGCGCCTCAGACACGCACCCGACTCATCTTCCTCCTCCTCCTCCTCCTCCTCGGCCGCAGCCATGGGACCGTCGGTGCCGTCGCCCCCCTCCTCGCCCTCCCCGTCCTGGAAGATCTCCTCGGCGATGGCTTCCTTCTCGTGCTCCTCCTTCCCATAGTCCTCCTCCTCGTCATCCTCATCATCCGACATCTTCCGCACCCGCCGGAACTTTTGCTGCGAGAAGCACCGCCCGTGAGACCCCACGCCCCCGAGGCAGAGTGCCCGGGCCCTGCACGAGCAGCCTCCGCCGGCAGGCCCCTCGCCACCCTCCGGCCGGGCTGCCCTGCACAGGCAACTTGAGGCCCGGGCAGCGGAGGGCCCACCCCGCCCCATCCCCAGACGTGCCGGCGCTGCCGGGGGGCGCAGCCCCGCAACTCACTCGCTTCACTTTGACGCCCAAGTTCTCTTCAATGAGGTCGAAGTCATCGTCCTCCAGACGGTCGTCGAAGTCTGTGGAGACGCGGAGTCAGGCCGCCTGCCCGCCGGAGAAGGCAGGTGCCCGGGGGAGCCGGTGCTGCGGCACCCCAGGTTCGCTGCCCCACTTCCCCGGCACTCACTGCGCTTCCGCTTTTTACGGCCCACATCATCTTCGGAGTCTGCGGAGTCGCTGCCCCCTTCCTCTTCCTCCTCCTCTTCCTCCTCATCATCGTCGTCATTGATGAAGCCCTTCAAGTTCCCCTGCTCATCCTGGTCATCGAGGTTTTCCTCTTCCTCCTCCTCTGGGGGGCGGGCAAGGGAACAGGGGGAAACTGAGCCCCAGCAGCAGGCACAGAGGAGGGGGCAAGCACCCCCCAAAAGCCCCTGCAGCCTGCCCACCCCCACTGCGGTGCACAGCACCCAAAGCACATGCCCACCTGGGATGGCCCCATGGCTACACTCGGGGCCCACAGAGAGGGACGTCTTTGCCCTGACTCTTTGTCCTTCTAGAGGCAGGAGCGGAGCCGGAGAGAGGAGCCTGCAGCCTATGGGTCTCACGTCCAGCCCACGGGGCCGATGTGGGCTCCTTCGCGGGCCTGGCCGGCTAACCCACCCCCAGAGGAGCCCTGCCATTACACCCCGCTACAGACTAGGGATCCCAGCAAGGGAGGCGTCACCGACGTCGCACCTTCCTCAGCGGGGAAGGCAACCTGCAGGCCGAGCATCGGCTGCTGTGCCCGTGGCCAGAACGCTCCCATCCCCGACTCAGCCGTGGCCGCTTTGCTCGTGGCCGCTCCCGCTCTCCGCAGTGGGGCAGGCACAGCCAAGCCGGTCCCCAGAAGAGGCCCTGGGGGAGCAGGATCGCTCAGGCCCAAAGGACATCCGGGTGTGCGACCCCTTCCTCATTCAGCTCGTGGGGGGCTCCCCCCGTGAGGGCAGTTACCCACCCCCTGGGGTAGACAGATGGGTGAAGCACCGTGGGCAAAGAAACGAGCCACAAGCCACGCAGTGCAGGCCTAGCAAGACGCGAGATCAGCCCCGGCCCCTGCAGGGTTTTCGCTAGGAATTGCTGCACGGCGCCGGGGCGGCCGGCAGGCTGATGGAGGCGGCCGTTCCCACGGACCGGAGCCAGAGCCGCTCCTGCCCACAACCCTCCGGGCTGCCTCTGGGCGGCCGACTGCAGCAGGTCGGGGCAGCGGGCCTCCTGCTGCTTCCCGGCTCTGACTCATGCACAGTCACGGCTGCTGGTGAGCCAGAGCCCTCGAGCCGAGCACAGCCCCAACCAGCCAGCCCGCCGGCAGCGGCCGTGCACCGAGCCGGGCCCTGAACTGCCCGGACTGGCCGCCACGGCTTTGGGCAGGGGCTTTCCCCACCCCTCCAGAGGCCAGGGATCAAACTGGGGCCTCGGCAACCCATGTGCACAGAGGGCTGCCGTGAAGGTGAAGCTCGGCTCAGCAGGCTCACCGTCTTCATCCTCCACAAATTTTTTGGAGGGTCTGGAAACGACTTCCCCGTCTTCATCATACTCCTCCTCAGACTCCTCGGCTTCACTCTCCACAAAGTCAGACATGGCTGCGATGCGAGTCTAGGGGACACGAGCGAGCCAACGTTACGGGAGGACGCCCTGCAGCTGCAGCCACCGAGGAGGGAAGGCAGTGAGCGCAAGCTCCGCCGTGACAACGTGGAGGACGCTCGGGAGGAACAAGACGCGGCGGCTCCGACTGCTGAAGGGAGCAGCGTCTTCCCCCATGAGCTGCCCGGGAGTCACACACCCGGAGAAATGGAATAAGGGACCCAAAGCCATCTACAGGGACCACACAAACAACACTTTCGCAAAAGACCTTAGGAGAATTGTGCCTGCGTTTGCAAGCAACCCAGTGGCGATCGCTGCTGTTACCACATTTTACCTACAGAATGCCAGGGCTGCACGGAGCGAAGCCCCACCGCAAGAGTGCCCCTGACAGAAGCACCCGCACCAGTCTCCCCCAGAGGCGAGCCCCTCTGCAGGGGCCCCACATGGGGGCTGCAAAACTTCCAGGTTACACAGAAGTGGCATAAAACCACGGTGTGGTCCAGACGCACTGGCCACAGTGCGAGACTTGTGGGGCTTGCGAAACCTTTCCCACTGCATCGGGGGCTCTCGGGACGCCAGCCCCAGACACAGCGGTGGCTTGCAGCCCCTTGCAGAACCCCCTAAATCCTTCACCAAGGACAGCACTTGTCCGCCACTCGAAATAGCGGTGTGAAGATGCATTTGGCTGGGCCGCTTGGTTCATGACTGGGACCGACCAGGAGCTCAAACTGGATCACAAGCCCCCTGCCAGCAGCCTGCTCACCACAGGCAGGGCTGAAGAACCAGGGCTGAACGCGGTAGAGACCCCAAACCCCAAACAGGGGCTGACCACTGCTCATGGCAGCCCCAACAGTGCGCCACCTGCTTGGTCACCTTGACCACAGAGCATCAGGGCGAACGTCTCCCCGGGGCCTGGCTCGGGCCACCCGAGCGCAAGCGCAGTCAAAACCTTAACACGCAAAGGCCCCTCTGCCCCCTGGTCACTGCCTCTTCCAAACAACCTACAAACAGCGCTTTGCACGGGCGTCTGAGCTTCACACACAAGCTTCTAATTATACCAAGCACCACAATCACTTCTTCTCCAACTGTTGTTGACATCAGACAACCCACTGCCACCTCCCATTCCTCCGGCACTCCCGGAGTCAAAAGAGTCTTTCCCGAGAGGGTACGCTCCAAAAACCTTGTCCAAAAAAAGTCTCAAGGCCCAAGCTAAGAAGAGACAATACATTGCATTTAGGAACTGTCCATTGCAGCTCCACCCCACCTTCCTCTTGTTCTAAGCGACCCAAGGCAGCTAACACAGCTCTCCTCCTTGCCATCTTATCTTCACAACAACTCTGCGAGGTAGGCTAGGCTGACAGAGAAAGACTGGCCCAATGCCACCCAGTGGGCTTCAGGGCTGAGCGGGGACTTGGATCAGATCTTCTGAGTTCCAGTCCTGCCACACTGGCCATCCAGCGCTCCAAGCGATTAACCTCATAAAACCAACATTTTCAACCTCAACCTGGCAACACAACGCATCCCTGCTTTCTCTTTCGGACGTCCTGTCCCAACAGATTGCGCAATACACAAACACTGCAGGGAAGTCAGGGGGTGCCGGAGAGAAATTCTGATTTTCAGGCATTTTCTGCTACGCGTTCAAGTATTCTAAGACCCTGCGATCTTCATCTGCGGCTCTGGCACGGCTCATCCTCAGCCGGCCGGTTCTCGCTGCCATGAAACCGGGCAACGCTGAAATCGCCTTTTCCTGGGCCCGCTGGCCGGAATCGCCAGCCTGGCCGTCCCTGAAGGGGCCGAGGGCCGCGATCCCCGCCTCGGAGTCGCGCAGGCCGCTCCAGAGGCACGTCCCGGCCCAGGCAAGGGAGCCTGGGAAACGCGCTTATGCAACTCGGGGGCTGGAAGCGGCCGCACAACAACTGCGACGAGGAGCCTTCCGCCAGCTTCCCCCGCGGAGGCCTCAGCACCGTCCCGACCCCCGTTCACGCGCCCCGCGAGACGCCGCTGGAAGGCCCCCGCCCAGCGGCCCTGGCCGGGCAGATCCCCCCAGGCGGGGCGCCGCCCGAGGCGGCTGGAGGATCGCGCGGGGGAGAAGGCACCGCGGGCGGGCGGGGGCGGCGAGGCCTTCGGGCCTGCAGGCCGCGGCGGGGCCCGCTCCGGG